TTCTTAGCTCGGCAGCAGCCTTCACAGTACCAGACTATCTCGGTTATTGATGCGTATACGTCATCGGATATTTTTCCGCAATTTAGATGATACCAGTTTCGACAGCTCTCGCATTCAACCACCTTTGATCTATATGTGACTCTACTGCTGCAACATGCGCACAAGCCGTTTTTGTCATTAATTTGCTGTTCCTCCGTTCCCACCGGTATTTCTTGTCTTTGAGCAAACTCGTACTCTTTCAGCCGTAAGTTTGCCAGAATTACAGCGAGGGACGCTCCCATTGCTAAACCATCAACTTGTACATACCATGAATCATTACACTTGAAACATACTTTGCTGACCGCCATATTCAAAAGCCTTTTCATGGTGGCTCTTTGAATTTTAGGAGGAGACTCTTGGCTGTACAGTTTCTGTAAAGCAATTTCGATTGCCTCCTTCAGGGGAACGTTGGTGTACAAACTTTTCACATCAAGAGATATTATGGTTTCATCCGGATCTAGATCAATGTTTTCAATTGTTTCTCTAGCCTCATCAGTATTGGTTTCTATATTTGCTCCATCGATGTTGTCAAAAAATTTTTGTTAAGATTCTCATACGAGCTGCCTGGAAGTGATAGTACTGGTCGTAGGGGTGTCTCAACCTTGTGTACCTTAGCTAAGCCGTACAAACGGGCCGGTTGCCCCCCTGTTGACCTCATCTTAGAATATTACTGATCACTTATCTCGTCTCTTTTGTTCATGGCTAGTAATTCTTTGTTAAGTTCCTTCTCAATTTTCAGTATAACCTTATCAGTGGTGGCATCTTTTTTCACAAATTGAGCAGATTGCAACCAGGATTCCAGCTTTGATTCATACGTTTGTTTCCTCATTATGCAAAAACCAACCCCTTATCAAAAGGCACAGCCAGCAACACATTGTCTTTGAGATATTTTCTCGTTTTTTCAACGGCTTTGTCTCTTGGTGTTTGCCTTACGTTTTTTGCATATGCCTTTTTGCATATGCCTTCTATTTCACATAACGTTTCACCGGATGTTTTTTGATTTTTCAATTGTGAGAGGAAAATGTCGATATCCGCCAAAAAGTGTTACGTTAAATTTTTCTCTAATCGGATGCTTCGGGCCCATTGATAGCACTTCATATACCCATTCAGGCAGTTAAATGTTAATGTTATCAAGTACCTTATCTGATTGCTCATTTCTCCCCCCAAGAGGTTTATTTTGTCTCTCGGACAGTTTTTCTAACTTTTTTCTATGGTTTTCTGATGTTGTCATTAAGCTTGCCTCAACTTGACGCCTCAGGAAGCGGAAAATGGATGCCCACCACTGTTCGTCAATTTCTTTTTGCACCAGTGATCTTGCTTTCATTAGTATCTCCTCGTACCTTTTCCTATCCTCATTTGCCCTAGAAGTTTCAGTCCTTAGTAGTGTCCACGAGCGGTAAAACAATCCAGTCAAAGTAATTTGCAGGGGACCACGACGGCTGTCCCAGTATATCAATTTTATCTGAAACTATTTATTATCACAAAAATTAGGCTAACAGTGTGACGGGCCCTCTTAATTGATGGGCAGTGACGGGCAGTGCAGAAAAGGAACTGGCTTGAGGATCCTGGTGGTGCGCCGCTGGACCTATTGAGCTCGGGTGAGATTGTTCCTTGTTTTTGATTTTTATAATTCGAATTTAAATTTTAAATTAATTTAGTTGTCTTTTTTTTATTTGCTGATTTGTAAAATTCCCACTAACCGCTTATCATGGGTTAGTTCAGTCCCCTAGGTCCAGTCAAAATCCTTTTTTTACCTTTATGCTGCGTCAAGATGAGGAAAAATAACAAAGAGTGTACAAGCAAAGATTGCTTTAAACCTTCAGGACTGATAAATTGGATTAGATGTGATTGTTGTTCTAGTTGGTATCATATCAGTTGTGTAAATATTTCTCTTAGCGACTCTAAGAAAACCCAATTTTTTCAGTGTCCTTTATGCGTTGATGTAAATTCTGTTAATAAAGCAACAATAGGTAATGATTTAGTGCTAGACAATTATGTTAATACAGCCATCTCAAATGTCAGAGTACTCAAGAGAGTACCAAAAGACTCGCGTGTTCCCTTGGCGGAAAGTCTGTCGGACAAAATAAATGACATCGTCTACAATGTAGAAGATGTTACAAAGTGGCTAATTTTTTTAACATCGTTCTTGTTTTTTTTGGAGCAACCTAAAAGAAGTGGACGCAAACAGACCACAAGCATGTGCTCTTTGATAAACAAAAAAACTCAAGCAAATGACGTGTCACTTCCAAAACCCAATCCCCAAGTTTCAAGCCCGCCTCTGAGTGGCCTCGAGCAGAGAATAAAGTTAATAAGTAGTAAGCTCGATGAAGGAAATTTGAAGGGAAGAATAGAGCTTGCTGCTTCGGATGACAAAAATGCTCCTTTTTCAACTGATAACTATCGAAAATTGTTGTCTAAGCACCCGCAGCGAGCCAAATTTGCAGCTCCAAATCCAGAAAAGTTGGATATTTTTTTTGCAACCGATTTCGACCTATACAAAGCGATAATGTCCTTTCCAAACGGATGAGCAGCAGGTCCTGATAAAATAGTTCCTCAAATTTTTAAAGATCTTGTTAGTAAGTCGAATGACAGTGCAGGACTTAATTTTCTGAAATCGCTTACTAAGCTGATAAACCTCATTGGAGATGGCAAAATACCCGAACCACTAAGACCTTTCTTTTTTGGCGCAAAGCTTATCGCCCTCATAAAGATAGACGGAGGGTTGAGACCGATTGCCATAGGCAAAACGCTGAGACGTATCGCGTCTAAATGAGCTGGAAGCAAGGCCCTCTCCGAGCGACAAAAATTTTTCGGAAACGTACAGGTAGGATGCGGTACCAAACGAGGAGCAGAAATAGCTGCGCACTCGTTTCGAAACCTAATTGAACGCGACGACAATCCAAAATGCACTGTTCTTTTAAAACTAGATTTTAAGAATGCCTTTAACTCTTTAAACAGAGAAACAATGCTGAATCATATTTATTTAAATCGCCCCGAATTGTATAATTACACCCATTGCGCGTATGGTAAACCTAGTTACCTTTTTTACGGAAACTCTGTCATAATGTCAGAAGACGGAACTCAGCAAGGTGATCCTGAAGCCCCACCCCTTTTTGCGGAAACAATTCATACACTAGTCAAACAGTTGGAGTCGAAAATTAACATCTGGTATTTAGATGATGGGAATTTAGCCGACGACTATAAGGTAGTACTCCGGGACCTTAAACACATTCTGAAATCGGAACAAATTTACGGCCTGAGCTTAAACACTGAGAAGTGTGAACCTTGTTTTTTGGGACCGACTACTAGTACACAGTATAATTCAATTTTAACACAATTTCGAAAAATATGCCCCAAAATAAAAATAAAAACAAAAGAAGAAATCCTCATTTTAGGATCTCCAATCGGCGAACTTTGCCGAAAAGAATTGCTCGACAAAAAAATTAAGGAGCTTGAAAAAATCTCGGATGTCATTGACAAACTAGACGCCCATTATGGTTTTTACCTCCTGAAAAATTGCTTTAGCATGCCAAAACTTCTATATTTTTTGCGTACGATCCCTTGTTTTTTGCAAAAATGATTTTTTGGAACGTTACGATAAATTACTAAGAAATTCGTTATGCAAGGTCACTAACAGGAAAATGGATGATAACCAGTTTTTACAAGCAGTTCTCCCGGCAGCCAAAGGTGCTTGGGCGTTTCTTCCGCTCGTCTACTCGCTTTACCCGCTTTCTTAGCCTCAGCAGTAGGAGTAAAAGATGCCTTGAGCGAAATCTTTGGTTTGTAGCATGTGGATGGAACCTATGATGATGCGCTTAAACGGTAGTTTGACCGTGGAAAAATGGAAATGACTCCGGAAAATGAAATCCAAAAAAATTGGGCGGAGCCAATTTTTGACATAAAAATTGGACGGAGCCAATTTTTGACAGCGAAATTACAGACTTGATTTTACGACTCGAACCAACAGACGTAAAAAGGTTCAACGCGTTCCAAGATAGATTTGGCTTCCAATGGTTGAACGTCATCCCGTGCAAAAATTTAAGGTTAAAACTGTCCAACCAACAACTCAGAAATGTGAAGGGACTTCGATTAGGATCAAAAATATGCGAACGGCATAAATGCGTGCGCGGAAAAGACGTTACCGAAGATGGTTGGCATGGTCTTTCTTGCCTCAAAAGTGCAGGGAGATTCTCTAGGCATTCAAACCTGAAGGCCCTTTTTAAAACAGAGTCTATCATCTACTCACATTCCGTCTGTTTTAGAACCACGACACTTCTACAGGACCGATCAGAAGCGACCAGACTCGTTCCATGGGCTGATGGTATGCAGCTCTTGTGGGATGTAACGGTAGTAGACTCCTTAGCTCCTTGTAGGATTAATGCCGGGTCTGTTTGTAACCCTGGTACGGCTGCCGCTGAAGCGGAAGAGCGAAAAATTGACAAGTATAAAGATCTTGTAAATGATGGATATCTTTTACAACCGCTAGCTTTTGAAATTCAGGGCGCGGCCGGCCCCAGCACAAGTTTTTTTGAGCAAGCTTTGTAAGAACCTAAGCATATGCACTGAGGAACCCAGAGCAGGCAGCTTTTTAAAACAGAGAATCTCCCTGGCAATACAGATTGCGAACGCCGCTTGCGGACTCGGAACAATAAATGACAAAATAACTTTCGACGAAATTTTTTACTTGTAACACTTGTATATTATATTATCTCGTGTCGAGTTGCGTGTTCTTATTGAAGAAACGTAACCCGTATCGATTTTAATTGAAAAGGACTTAAACACTTGTCATCTTCTTTTATCATTATCACTTCCATATCTAAAAAATTTTAAGGATTTTGACTGGAATACATGATGAAGGAACTCATTACTGTAACCTCGGTTACTATGATACTTTTGAACTTAATTGATCCTCCAAGAAATATGTCTTTGCGAATATCATGATGATACCTGTTTGCCTTTTCAGTTTACATGTGTTTTTATCAATGACGTACTGTTTACCTCCAAATTTGTTGGCTCTTTTCACGCCCAGGGAACCAATCCCTTTCCTTGCTCCAATTGCCAAACTGCCTCATGAGAAAAAGAGAGAGCATCAAGGAGGAATAGCTCAACTTGTGAATTTGTTCGAGGTCGAAATCTTCTTGATGTTTATTAAACACAGATTTTTTTTAGTATAGACGATAAAACCCTGATGCTATAGCTTCTATTTGACAATAAGAAAAAGTAAGGAATTCAGATTTTTGTAATCTGCTTATCTTAATAAAATCTTTCAGGCACCTGAGGATACTCCTGCTAAAACTAAAGTCGAGACGAAAGAAGAACGCAAAGCCCGACTGGTAAGCCCACGCGCCAGAGCACTGCTTTTTTCCAAATCCGTTAAATAAGATGGCTTTGATTTTTTAGGCAGGCGAAAAAGCAAAGCTGAACAGTATCCGAATACAGGAATATTTAGAAGCTGCTCTTTGTAAGTATAATTTCTTTTACAATACTCGCAGTCGTGATAAACATAAAAATCAACATTGTTAAATTTAGCCTAATTGTTGTGGCGAGCTTATTAAATTATTTCAAATTCGCAATATTGACACAAACCCGGAGATGACACAAACTCATCTAGACACGCAAAGTTTTTCAGTTTTTCACGAAAATTACGTTACTTCAAGATCACTCTATCAAAATGTTCCACGTGTGCATAATGCTAATGATGCCGAACAGTACGTTTTCACGAAAAGTACGTTACTTCATGATCACGCTATCAAAATGTTCCATGTCTTCATAATGCAAATGATGCAGAGACCTCACAAAAGGTCCAAAGCAAGAGACCACGTGAAATACTTGGGGAAAAGCCTAATGTGGTGGAAGAGAGGAGACATCGATTTGATGTTCAATGAAGCCCTAGCAATCCAAGGAGAGCTACTGTTGCCCAAACACCAGCAGTAGCACCAAAACAAGTGGGCCAAACACCAGCAGAACATTCACCAAGCTTGTTTTAGAAGGCAGACTCTCAAATGCAATGAAGAAACGCATCTACAGGCGTCCTAGATCCGAAACGCATCTACAAGAAACGCATCTACAAGAAACGCATCTACAGGCGTCCTAGATCCGAGAGACTGTCGTGCGACAGCATGAAACTTCTAGAGCTCCATCCCAACAGCAGAGAAGCACATCTGGCGGAGAAAATGCATGGTATACCACTGGAAGTGAATGACATCGTTTTGGAATCAATTGATTATTGAGAAATACATCAAGCTGCCATGCAAACTCGAGGATCCCATGGCCCAAGTGGTCTCGACGCTGCCAGTTTCCGGAAGATGGCATGCTCTGCTAAATGAAAGAGGACCGGCGAATACTTTTGCAATACGGTTGCCGATATGGCTTGAAGACTGCCGTGAAAGTCCGAACCCAAAATCAATTGAAGCATTGACCGCTTGCCGTGAGATAGCTTTCGACAAATATGGTAAAGGCCGAATAAGTCCGATTGTCATTGGTGAAACTCTTCGAAGAGTCGCGGGAAAACCTGTTGCCAAACTTCTCAATGCAAAGGTAAGAGACGCCGTAGGCGTCAGCTAAACATGCGATGGTCAAGGTCAACAGGGAGGCGAGTGGGTTAGGTACACGTCTCTCAACAAGAGGGTCATAGGCACTTCGGTCACGGTTGGAGGGGTATCAGAGTCATCCGCCTCCTCAAGGTAGGACCGATTGTGGTAAATAGATGACATCTCTCCCCCACGGTTGGTACTGCACTGAGCAGGATCGGGGGCTAATAAAAAAAATGGTCAACAGTGCGGATTCGAAGCTGCCGTTCACGCTGTAATCAAAACTTTGAATTAGAATCAACTGAGTGCATGCTACAAATCGATGCAACGAACACCTTCAGCACAGGCAAACAATATGGCAATGGCCTTCAATGCTATCGGCATGAAGCCTTTGATGAACAGACTCGAAATGTACAAACTAGTCCAAGAAGGATTCGCCGACGATGCAGCAGCTCCAGGAGAACTCATAATTGATAAGAGATCGTGGGATCAGCTGAACCAACTAGGCCCCAAAGATGGATATTTCCTGAAAGCGTCAAACTGTTGGCTCATCGCAAAAACCGAAAAACGTGCCATCAAAGCCTAAGCTATCTTTGCGGGTCGAATATCAACATTACATCTGGGGGACAAAAACATCTAAACATCTAGGGGCTGTAATTGGAAATATCCAAGCACGCAAAAAATTTAATCATGACAAATTGGATGTTTGGATTGGTTAGATCAGCTTGCTATCAAAAATGGTGGAATCTGAAACACACTAGTGTTACGTAGTTTATAACTGTGTTCTCCAGAACTGATTGAACTTTTTGATGAGAGGACTCGGTCAACTGAATGATATATTGGAACCTTTTGAACTACGACTCAGGGAATTCCTGCAAATTTTAGTTGGTGGAATCATCTTAGATGTCGAGCGAAATATACTTGCACTTCCTGTCAGATTTGGAGGCTTGAGCATTTATAACCCGACTAAAATATGCTAACAACCGTACGAGAACTCAACCCATCTGAAAAATGATCTTCAAGACGCTATATCTGGCGAACCGTTCATAGAAATCATGGCGCCTAGACCTGAAATTAGAAGGTTGAACATTCTCCGATCTGATGCTGACTGCGATGATATCCTGGGAAAAATAGACGATAGAAGTAAACGCCACCTCGAACTCCTCCAAACAAAAGGCACATACACATGGCTAACCACGCTACCATGGAAATATCATGATATTTATTTCAACGGAGAGGAGTTCGCGTTGCCATAAGCTTAAGATGAGGATGGCCAGTCAAATGTCTAGCGCGCAGTTGTGATTATGGCGAAGAAAATAGCAACGACCATGCCTTAATATGCCAGGTAGAAGGCTTCGTTACCATGAAGCACAATGCTCTGAGGAATCTGGAGACAGAGATGCTTACAAATGTTTATAAAGACGTTGTGATTGAGCTAACGCATCAGCCATAATTAGGCACATACTCCGAAAAAGTTGCTACACATGATGTCTCATGTCGGAGATTTTGGCGCCCGCCGCAAAGTTCTTTCTTCGACATTCGGATTGCAGCACTGTATTCAAAAAGCCGCTGAAAATGATTCTCAAGAGCAACAAAACGTGCAAGAAATTTGAGTACAACGAGCGCGAGCGGGAAATAGAGAACGGTAGCTTTAGCCCACTAATTCTAAGCACGTACGGTTTTAACCCACTAATTCTAAGCACGTTCTTCGCCAAAACCAACAACTCGTACGTTGAGACTGACCATCATAAAAAAGATGCTTTTACCATCATCAGAACAGCTTTTATCGCATTAAGAGAAAAAAGAAGAAACGCACAGAAAGCAACGCCAATTGCGAAATAAACATTATAGCAAACATCTTATATTTCCTATGTATCCTCACTTTTCCCTTGTTTCTACGTGTCTTAGAAAGTTTTATCATCTTAATTCACGCCTTTGCATTCCATTTCAGTCCTGCTGCTTTAACTATCTTTTGTGTATGCGGTATACAAAACTGTTTCTGTGAGGGTGCATACCCTATAACGAGGGCACACTACCTCCTTCTGTTCGTCAGCTGTATAGATGTGGTAGCATGATTATTTTCTCGATCGTATGTCTTGCACGTATGTCTCTCGATCTTATGTCTTGCATCGTACAGTATTGCACGGAAACCATTTCCAAAATTGTTGAGAGCATCAGTTATCGCATTAAGAATCATATGCTCTCAATTTATCATGGTAACCGAAGTAGTACAATAGTCCGTCATCATTTTACCCAGTCAAAAAAAAAACATTCTTAAATGTGAAAGTTTAGTATAACTTGAAGAAAAGTAAAGGGGTCAGATGGTTGGAAATCAAGTCAACCAGTTTGAGAAATTTAACACATGCAGAGAATAAACCGGAGATCAAAGAAACTCAAATTGATTGACCTGATATGATGCTACGGTCTATCAGGTACTTAATATAGGCTGAGTTTACGTTCCTTTGGCTTTACAAATGAAGAATTTCATGGAAAAAAGTTTTTATATTTAATACTGTCAATTAGAGATTCTATGCTTGTGAAAACTACAGTGCTTACGTGGAACAATTTGTTTTTGTCTGTTTTGCGGTCTTCCACCTCGGCCGCCGGGGTTACAAACCGAGCCTGTGTTTATTATACTAGGGGCTAGGGAGTCAACTACCGTTACATCCGACAGAAGATGACTACAACCTGCGCATGGGACGAGCGTCAAATCGTCTGGTCGCTTCTGTTCTGTCCTGTGGAGTTGTCAAAAATAGAAGAAATGTGAATAGAGTCGAAAATTTGCTTTGTAAGGGCATTCAAATTCGAATGTTAAGAGAATGCCCCTGAATTTTTCATACAACATAGGCTATGCCATCCATCTTTGGGAATATTGTATCCGCAGATGCATCTTCGTTTCAAACTTATTTTCGATTCTAGGCGTATAGTCCAATAGCATTTCTAAGCTGCTGGTTTTATGATCATTGCGATCCGAACTTGTTCTGATAAGCATTGAAGGTTTCATATCATTAAGTTCTAGTTGTGAAAATGGGTTCCATCCAATCATTTCGGATTTCGTTTTCCGATAATACGAGTCTAAACAAAGTTTTTTTTGCATCATTATATGTTCCATCCTCGATTTCCCAACCAATAATTTTGCTGGTATCTTTGGCTCCTACTCCTGAGCCAAGCTAAGTAGAAGAGCTGAAGAAACACCCAAGCCACCTTTGGCTGTCGGGAGAATTGCAAATATTAGTTATATTTCCGTTTTACATTTTTACCTTACATAATAATTTTCAAATTTCTATCGTACCTTTTGCAGCAAGAGTACTGCAATCGGGTACTAGATTTTTTCCGTTAACAACTTTTTTTCACAGGACTCAATGGTTCCTTGTGGTATCTTAGCTGATAGCGAAATTAAATTTCTTACTGCCTCATGCGCACTCATCCTGGAGGTAACCAATACGTCGGGAAGCCAAATGTCCTGAGTTCGAATCTGAAGAGGACCGGTTTTCTCAAACCATTAAAAAACCGATTCAATACGGCCTGTTATTTGTCTGAATATGTTTTGTCTGCTTAATTGCCAGGTTTAAGATTGTTAATTTTAAATGCAAACAATTTCAGTGTAGTTGCTTAGTGTCTTAGCCTTCTACAAAAAACCAGCTGAACGGAAATTCGTTTTGTACATCGGTTGTAATTGTATTATCTCTACATGTTAAAATGTGTTTTTTTTTTAAATTTATTTTTCTTTTTTTATCGACATAGTCTGTTTCGTCTTATTTTATGTCTAGTTTGTGGACCTTAGTGCATCGTGGCCCTTAGTTCATCGTGGCCCTTAGTGCATCCCGGAAGGGGACTCATTTTTTAAAATTAAAGATATTGAGATTTTTTCGGCGTGAAGGGGGTGCTCAGGTTTTCGGCGTGCTGAGGTTTTTTTTCCTGTTTTATTAACTCTTGGTAAGGTTTGTTCCGATGCTAATTTTGCAATCTTTTGTTTTAGCATGTTTTCTGTCAAAATCATTTTCTTTTGTTTTGATCGATTGGTGGTATGTATAGGAATAAAACATCGATATTACTTTTTTGCCGATGAATTTTTAGCTTTCGATTTAGCTCTGGGTTTAGTTTACGAAGTGTGTATATCACTTTGATTTAAGTAACTGTATGGTCTTCGTGGATACTTTTGGTTCATAAATTTTTTCCAATAAAATTGTGCCGAACAAATTTTGTTGATTTTCAGTTAATTGGCTGTCGGCTGTAATGTTGTCGGATCATTTACCCCCTGTTTTGTTTCCTACACAATTCCGATATTACTATTGAGATTGTTAAGACGTTGGTCCCAAGTGTAAATTTTTGAATGCTCAAGTTCAACACCACTTGGAAATCTTTGAAAGTTTTTAATAAATTTAAACATAAAAAAATTGATTTTCATTTTTTGGCTTCTTGTTGTTTTTTTCTACGCTACACTTTTCAAGTCTTCTTTGATAATTCTTGAGTGTCTTGCTGTTTTAATCTTTTCTATGTTCTATCGCTTCGCTTTTATTTCGAAAAATATCTCGGCAAAAAAGGGTTTCGTTGGCAAAAACTAAAGCACTTTTTAAAGTGGTAAAACATTTTTATAAAAAGTAGAAATAAAAATTTGCATCGAACTTGTTAATAACATCGAACTGATTTTCAATAAGCATTTGTTTGCGATAAAATTACATTTTAGGGCAGCCTAATATTGCCTTCCTGATATTGACATGATTTTATTTCACTTGGAGTGGGTCCTAAAAACAGCTCACACTTTTGTGTTAAGGCTCAAGCCAAATTTTTTTAAATCCAATTGCACTACGTTTTTAAGGTCTCGAGGCTCTTTTTTATAGTCCTCGATTAGATTTTTATTATCGTAGTAACAAATGTTTTTTTGAGTCAAGGTTTTTACGAGGGTGTGACTTGTTCCAGCAAACGGGTCTTTCGTCCTTTGACATAATGGTGCCACTTCCGTAGAAAAATAACTTTTTTTTTACCGTAGGGGCAATGAGTATATTTGTACAAGTGCTGGTTGTTCGAAAATGTTATTCTATCTATTTGTTCTTTTCAGCGAATGAAACGCATTACTACAATCAAAAATTAAGGAAACCAAGCAGGAGGTTGCCATTACGTTCTATCAAATTTCAAGAGTGTCGCAATTTAAGCTCCTCAGTTAGTAACATTTCCCTCTTGAGGTTTCTTAAGAATAATTTTGTTGCTCTGCGAGGGACTCGCTTCCCGCTCATTTCAACGCGATGCATCTGAGCGTGTTGCCGATGGCAATTGGTCTCAAACATTCATCTAGAATTTGAGAGCGATAAGTTATGCTTCAAAAAAGAAAGGTCTTAAAGGTTCAGGTACCGCACCTTCTCCAATATGTTTTAGAAGTTTAGGAAACGATTTCGAAAATTGATTTCGAGTCCCGTGTTGTTTGATTTATAGTATGGTCTTTAAAAACTTAATAGTAAAAACGGAACCATTTGGAACAGACATTATTGCTTTGTATACCTCGAAATCAAATACCAGAAACTATCGACATTTTCCGGGTTTCGGACGTTTTTTTCAGCACTTTTGGGTGCGCTTATAACAACATTTTTATGATTTTCAAAAATCAGTTGGAAGTTATTCGAACTGATTTTCAAAATTATTGGTTTCTTGTTAAGTTCAATTCAAATCCAGTTGCTGAAAGGAAGCCAAATTTTGATTCCAAAGAACAGAAGTTCCGGTGACTCGAAAAACAATTAGATTTTAGTTTCAAAAGTGGGTTTTAATTTCCAGCGGAATATAAAAATTGTATGCTGATACATGTTTATCAAATTGGACTAGTTTTTAAAAACTGTCAATCATAAAAGGTTGGAAAGTCAAATTTGTATAAGGTGATATGTTTAGCCTATGAGCTTACTGTTTCGATATCTTTTTGCTCATTGACTCTTTCCCGACTGTCTGTTGGCTATGCTTGCTGATAGAAGATGAGCCAGTCGTCTTTAAAAATTTCGCATTCGGAACTTTCAACACCGTTTGATCCAAAAACGAGAGATGTGAAACCTGATCATTCACAGGCCGAATTGTACTTGAAATAATTTGCCGATCAACACACATTTTGCAAATTGAACGGTTAGTTTGATATGTAAAAATGAGCGTCTGTTTTCTAATTTGTTTCTTTTTCTCGCAGATGATCCGACTGAGATTACAGATGCTACTTCAGACTCTTTCAAAACACTCTTTGTTGCAAGACTTGTAAGTGACACCCTTGCCCATCAATCAATTCAAGTGGCCTTTAGTTCCATTTTAATTCCGATTACATTTCAGAATTTTGACACAAGCGAATCAAAGCTAAGAAGAGAATTTGAGCATTACGGACCCATTAGAAAGGTATTTATTCAAAGACACCTTCAACATATTCAATATATCTCGTAAAATTGCTGATGTCATGGTGGATTTTTGAAATTTTAATCTCTTTTGCGTCAAAATTTCTCTAGCTTGCTTATTCATATCAGAATTTAAATGGAAACCCTCACACACGTTTCCTTTCACCATTATTGCAAGTTCGAAGCTCATCGTAGAATTTTTTAAACTTGATTATTGTTAATTGTTTGATAGCTTATTTCTTTAAACCTCATCCAAAAATTTTGATTTTTGTGACGCTTGTGACGTTTTAGATAAAAATAGTTCACGATTTGGACGGAAAGCCAAGAGGATACGCATTCATAGAATATGAGCATGAACGAGACATGCGCTGTAAGTTGCATATTCTTAGGGTTTTGAATTTTTTGACGATTGTAGAAACGACAAGAAAATTGCCTTGGGTCCAGGTATAGTATTCAAGGCACTAGGAACATGGATAAGTAAGACGAGAAGTATTTAAAAGAGGAGAAAACAATTCAAGTGTCAGTACAGTATAGAATAGCTTAATAGTATGGGGGATGATACGATGATATCTGTTATGGCACGTGATGTTTCTAGATGAGCGCGGTGGCGGACGCGTAAAGATATTGAGGGATTTGACGTTGTTCCTCCTCACTCGGAGATGTATTATGCAGTGTACTGCTACTACTATACCTGAGGCATCATTCTCTTGTCGGTCGCATCCTAGCCTATCCTATCGAGGACCTAGTCTTGTTTTAACCAGACACACATAAGGGTAAGGTGGCGAGGTTTGTATAACCAAACGCTCAACACCCTTTAGGCCGAACATAAAACATCATTGCATAAAATATAAGCAACATCCACACCAATTAATGATGGTCGAGACTAAAAAAGGAAATCAGTTGAAAATAACGTCAAAATGAGCAAAATTGCTCTAGTGGGAAGGATGGAAGCTTGGCTGTTGAAAGTTTGGTTCATTGTTGACTTGGGCTTGTTTTGCATTTTAAGCGGCCTACAAACACGCAGATGGTAAGAAAATAGACGGTAGGCGCGTATTGGTTGATGTAGAACGTGCAAGGACAGTGGAGGGATGGCTGCCCCGCAGACTGGGTAAGTATACTACAGACAACACACCTGAATTGAAACATCAGACATGCTACTCTCCGCTTAAGGAAATCGTGCTTCTCTCAATATGGGAGATACTCTAATTTTGCAACTGATTACGTTTTTTTATTTATATGAGCAGTACATTTTGAAATCATGTGTATTTTAGGAGGTGGACTGGGAAACACTAGACGCACCCTCTTACCCAAGTGGAAGCGAGATCTCGGATACGACGAGAAATCAGAACGGTAAAACCTGCTTCTTGCTAGGCGGTGTTGCTAGGTATTGTTTTTTTGTCCATTTTTGTATTGGGAATCTGCCTGCGCAATCTACCTCCTGTGGTTTAATAGGTTTGGAATTTATGAAGTTTTGAAGCTTTCAAATCCTTATAGATTATTTGTTGTACTCACAAATTGTTGAAAAATGTTAAGGTGCTTAAACTGAATTTGAAATAATTTTTTTTTCATAGGTAGACCTGTACAGTTTTCTTTTTCGAATCCAGAATAATTGGACGATGAGCAGAATATTTGATTGATTTTTTCATATATTTTTTGTGTGTGTGTGTCTAGGTCAGTGAGTCGGGCCAACAACCGATCGAGTGCGGGTGAGAGTAGACGGAGGAGGAGCAGGAGTAAAGAAAGGGGCGATAGAGACAAAGACAGACACAGCCGCAAGGAGAGGAAGGAAGAGAGGGAGAGGGAGAAAGAGGGAGGTGCTACTGTTGCTGCTGCTGGCTCTGGAGGAGGCGAAGATAGTAGAAGCAGAACAGGCAAAGAGAAGAGTCGAAGCAGAGAGCGAAAGAGGTAAAGTGTCGATACAACTATGTAACACTAGTCGCTCATGTGCAAATGTGGACAATAATATCCGTGAACATAATATATCGCAAATTATATGTAGGATAGACTTTTGCTCGAATGTACTCTTCCAAAATCTCCGGCAAAATAAAACGATTTCTGAATACGGCAAAGTTAACAGGCTGAAAAATAATTATCTCAATTGATAAACATTTTGCAATAACAAATTTTGCGGCCCCGAACAATTGACTAACTGACTTGATGAAACACTTTACCAAGAAGACGACTTTTAAGTGATCACTCGTACTGGTCAAAACGTCAGAAAAGGTCACCTGAAGTGGATTGGCCACGTGCTCAGAGTGCCTCAAGAATCGCTTCCAATTCGCTTCGCAAAAGCAAACCTCACATAGAAACGACAAGCAGCTGGAGTTAAGACCGGTTAGAGAGAAATCGGTCAAAGAAGACCTGAAAATACTGTTGAAACCGCCCAAACTCATAGCGAACGTGGCAAGAGACGTGGTTTGTTATAACCAAAGAGACAGCTGCGTCGCGTACGCGCTGGCCAGCTCTTATCCGAGACTGTATGGCTATCTATGGACAGTGATATATGAATGCTTATGATGGCGAGGATGAAAATAGTCTGAAAACCAAAATCATTCAGAAATTATTCTCGATATAGATTTTTCAAGGGCTTTAAAGGTACTTCATCCTTTCAACTTGGGAGAATGAGCGCAACAAAAAATATACCGCAAGACACCAAGATACTAATTTCGGTTTCATGACAAATTATCCCTCACCTTTTTATCCCAGGCGAAGTTATCCCAGTCAAAATAACCCAGAAGTAAAAATATCCCAGGACGAAGTAGCCCACGTAAATTAAATTACCCCATCTGAGGAATCGAACCAATTGAAACATCGCAATAGATTAATCAAAGGATTTAAAACCAAGATGCCGGAATTGAACAAACTGATCAAAGCAATGCTAACTTCTGAAAAAGAGCGTGGAATCAAATTCAGTTCAAAGCGTGAAATATTCAACGCACGTTTTCAATCTACCAATCTTTTGAACTATCGAAGTATAAAGATATGACTATGGTTAAAGAATATGACTCTCGGTCAAAAGATCAAACGATCGATTCGCGGTGGATCAAAAGTTTTAATTCGAAATCGATAAAATTTGTCCCCAAATCCAGTATGGGGGGCGGGGTGAGGGAAAAGGCAAAGTTATTGTTGTATTGGCCTCCATCACCTCCCAAAAAATGGTACCTCTACGATGGCTATAAAGCCAAAAACTTTATGATTTTTGGAAAATTTATTAGAATGCATCAAAATGACGATTTGAGAAAATTAGGCCGACAATTTGGCAAAATGAAATCTAGGAGAGTGTTAAATGAGCCAGACTTGAACATAATTTACTGTATCTGAGTTTTTGGAGGATTTAGTTATCATTCGGACTTTTTCATTGAGTTCTCGGTATTTTTTACGGGTTTGAATGGTGGTACCGCTGCTTGCTTTCTGAATATTGAACTTCTTGTTTTCAGAATCAAGTTGAGTTTTTCTAAAAACGTATGAATCGAGGGGTTGGTTCCCCTGTAAAAGCGACGTAGCGCCGTTATGCCAGCCTTCAACTGCATTGGTTGTTCGAATGAGGCCAGCCGCCGCCTTGTCGTAATGATTCCATAGAGCTGGATGAACAAAGGATCACGCTGTTGTCGACCGCTTATTTCTCCTTCAAAATAAGTTTTCTGGAAATATGATGCGAGCATATCATTTTTCTCGTGGATATCAGTTGGAATGTCGAACTGATCGACAGTTTGGCAAATTTCGTCTATGACAAGAGTAAACGCAGATGTGACATCTGAGATAGGAACGAAGCCTAAGCTGTGATCATTTTCAAGGTTAAGGCTAGCTTAGCATTGTTTTCATAGGTTTTTTCAGACTGAACTCTGAAAGCTTGTGAAGGAAACTTTGACATAAATGAAAGTAGCAACCTTTGATTTCGGTTTTATATAGTAACGAAAATGCATTCAAGGCAGCCTTTTCGAAGTCAATGAACTCCAATAAGGCTAATCAGGGCTTCGAAAGAACTGATGTAAGTGGACTCCAACAAAACGTAAATGCAGGGGGGATAAAAGCCGCCAATCTGGATATGTACTGTGTACAATTGATAAAATCGAGACGGACATTTCTTAAAAGTTCAATCACAAAACCAAAATTTGCTATGAACGCGATTGAGGCATGTTGAATTGAGTCTCTTTTTAATTGCGATATAGATATATGCACTAATTTTTGGTAATCTATATCATAAATTAATTTTTAATTCTCGATGGGATGTTTTAATCACAAAACCAAACCGCTATGAGCGCGAGGAGCATTTAAGTTTTCCATATCCTCGAGAATAAGGAATCGTCATTGTCTTCTTTTCCGCTATCATGTAGTCAAAAAGTTAAATATTTTTCGGGAATGTTGAAGTGACGTCGGTCGATGGAATCACTTCGAGTGATTCTTGCGTTTTGTTCCTATTGAGGGTTCTTGTCAGGGCTGCACGTGAAGGAAGTGAAAGCTGAATTGCCGGATTGTCGTTCAGTCTCTCGGCTAGCCGCTATCAACTGGTTATTTACAGGATTGTTTTGCGATTTTGTTGTTTCTTTCAACTGACTAACTAGCTGCTTTGCTTCTACGCGACCGGGGTTAAACTCATGGCTATGCTCGTGATTGAACGAAATAATGGTCCAAGATAAGTAACGCTTTGCCTTGAGTTTTAACGTAGATAAAATCTGTCATATTGGTGTTCATTGCATTGGTGCTATGTGATATATCTTTGCGTTGTGTTTCATTATCAAAATTTTTCTCAATTATGACTCCATTTGCAGGTTGAAAAATCAATTTTAATCCCTTGGAAAGAGTCTTTTTACCATTAGCACTATCTCTATATGGCGTCTCGAAATGATTGAGGCAGTTGAATTGAGTCTCTTTTTAATTGCGATATAGATATATGCACCAATCTTTGGTAACCTATATCATAAATTAATTTTTAATCCTCTATGGGATGTTTTAATTGACGTGGGCTATATTGGCATGGGCTATTGTTCCCATTGGGATATTTTGTAATGGAATACTTTCGTATGGGATCCTGTCACCACTAATTTCATATGTCAAGCCCTCTTCCATGTCTTTCGGATGACTATGTTTGATTACACTAGCGTCAGCTTATTGTGTTATTACGAACCTTTTTTTTCGAACCTAAAGTGTTCACTTATTTGAAAATTTCACTGTTGTATTGGAAATTGCATAGCATCTGTTTTGTGCTTTACTTGTTGCTTGTGTTTGGTGGCTGAGTGGTTAGTGTGCGAGACTCTTAATCTCTAGGTCGCAGGTTTGAATCCCAGACGTATCCGATTTTTTTTTACTTGTTCGAGGCTTATTTCTAAATTTTCTTATTGCACCTTATAGAGCTGCTTTTTTGGCGTATTCTCGCTAGTTTGTGCGAAGCAAAGCTTCGCCTCTGTGTCAAAAGTGTCAATCACTAAAGATTTCAAGAGATTTAGGGAGACTTTGAAACTCAGAAATTCAAATAGGTGTTTTCCTTGACCTCATTCTCATTTTTCCAACCGTCTGTTGGCTAGCTATGTTCTTATTATGTACTTGTTCACAGTGTTTTAAAAATAAAATGTGTAATAGAGAAGTGTCGTGTCCGAACCGGTTGGTCTAGTTTTCCAGTTCTGTTTTTGGTGTCAGCTTGGTAAAACCAGCGAAATTTTTTTTGAATGTTGATCTCTTTTAATAAACAAGCAGTTAAGCAGTAGGATGTTGTAATTTCAAATTTGTAGGAAGAGATCCAAGTCTCGTGACAGAGAGAAGGAGGAGAAGGAGAGCAAGAGGAAGCGAAGTCGCAGCAGAGAGAAGAAGCGCAAGAGGTCTCGAGACAGAGACAGGGACAGAGGAGATAAAGACAAAGAGAGAGACAGAGGCACGGCCACGTCCAAGAGCAACGGAAACGACGACGGAGTCGCCGAGGAAATTGGTCAAGCAGCAGTGGCCAAGCAGGAACCCAACGGCGGAGAGGCTCCTCCTTATGTCTACTGAATTATCTGCAAGTTTTGATAGGAAGCATGCGCAATCTCAAACCCAAAAGTAACTCTAACTTTTTAAACCTTATATGCTTTTTGTCCCGCATTTTTGTTCAGATTAATTGACCCTCATCTCTATGAAAATCTCTTTGGATAATCAATACGAAACTCTGATTGTCGAAAAGTCTGGAAAATATGATATTAAAATTGATATATGCGTCATTCTTCGTGGAGAGTTAGCGGTTGGTTATTTCGATTATCAGAATCGTGATCAATTATCTGTTTTTAATTAGTTTTATTTTTTTCTTGAAAAGTCTGTATCTTTTATGTCATTGTGAGTTTATTTGATTCAATCGTCTTTTGAGAGTGTTTATCTAACAAGACATCTGATTACTTCGTTATTGTTTACCGACGCTGGTGAGCTAGGTTTCAATAGTCAACTAGTTCAAAATATGTTATGTTGCGGGATTAATCAAATTTCGAAAAATTCCGATGGTACTAAAAATAATTTGATTCGAGAAACAACCGATGTGATACAGGGACCACAGATAAACAACCGATTTTATACGGGTGCAAGTTTTCACCTACCTGACTGGCGCAAGATAGCTTCAAAAGCTTGGCGAGCGCTTCAAAAGCTTGTGTTTTACCGCCTATGTTAGATCCTCATTCCCCTGGTATCTACACTGTAAGAGTAATGAACGTAATGAATATCTTACATATGCCATGGTGATTTTTTTCTTTGTTTTTTCTTAGGAAAAAATTGAAAATTTGATTTTTCACGGTTTGACGTTTGAGTTTAAGTTCGGTTCCTTTGTTAAAAGAAAAGCTAACTCCACTCTCGAACATCTAAAGTGTAAAACGTGATCGACTTTTAGTTTTGAAAATTGATTTTAATTTTCAGATCTTTGAGCGGAATAATTTTTTTTCCAATTTTCTCAAATTGGATTAACTTTTTTTTTAAAAAAAGTGCAATCATAAATTGTTCTAGATATTCTAAGAGCTTTAAGGCCATATATTGTTTCTTAGAAATTCGAAAGTTGAAATTTTCAAAACACAAGATTCCTTGCGTTCATTATACAAGCCAATGCTAAGGATATTAACACAGAGTTTTATATTACGAATAGCACTTTAGCTTCGAGGTATCATGGTTCTTTAGCGTAGAGGTAGGGAAGGAGAACAGCAGCAAAAAAGAGGGTTCGAACCTGGGCGGGGTCGGACGTTCTTAATGAACTTTTTCGTATACTAGTTAAAATGTGTACGCTTTATAAATTGAGGTATGTTAGTTGGTAAATTTCTTTTCAAGTTGACTGATACTGCTAATGCGTCATAATTGGCTTGCGTCAATTAGCAATTATGTAGACTCATAATTGGCGTTCGTCACTTAAGAAGTTTTGTAGACTCATAGTTTTACTCATTCAGTTTTTCCAAGTAGCGTCGGTCATATTTTTGCTTTTGTATGCGAAGTGCAACTTCGCCTCTGTGTTTATTTTTTCAAACTGTCTATTAGCTGTTTTAAAAAAATCCGTAAATTTGATATAAAAGCTGGGACAGTTGGCTCAGTCGGAGACGAATTTTGCATTATCAGGGGATCTGAGGTTCAAATCTTGTAGTCGGCTAAGTCTTGTTTTTGTAGCCACGTGCTTTTGTATTTTTATTGCAATTTCAAAGCTCAGTTTTGCTATTTTTTGCTTGTGTTTAATTGATAACAAAAATTTTAATTCAATTGTTTTTGTCACAAGATTAAATGTTTGCTTTGCTCAAAAAGGAGATAAATTTCATAAAAAGGAGAGGAATATCACCATCGTTCCGGATATGTTTATTAAGAGTAATGAACGTCGTGAAGACTCTTATATAGGTCTTTCTGATATTTTTTTCAGGAAAAATCTCAAAATTTGTTCACGCTCAATTTTGATTTTTCGCGGTTAAAACAAGTCGTTTTTGTTTAGTTTCCTTGCGTTCATTACTCTTTTCCATCTGTCAGTTGCCTATGTTTATAAATTATTGAATGATCACAGTCAGATTGTGTACTCTAATCAAATCAAGTTGTTTTTTTCATCTAATAAGAACCCTATATTCCAAAAATGTCATGTGTGTTTTCTAGTTTTTTGAGCGTCAATTAACAGTGAGGTAAATTATTTAGGCCGTGGATTTTTTTGAGATTTATCTTTTGATTCCTTGAGAGTCCATTACATATTTATTTACCAATCAAAAGGCACCGTGTGCTTTCTAACTGAAAACGTGCAAATATGGCCAAAAAAATTGATTTATATTTTGACTAGTGACGTTTAATTTTGATTCCCCAGAACGAGTGTCTTTTAATCGTTAACATAATTTTTTTCTGTAAACACGTTTTCTTTCAAATCTCAATTGCTGTCTTATTAAAGCTTATGAACATCCAATTTTGTTGACAATTGCCCTCACCTGGCACCCTAAGGCCACTGAGTTAACGCCGTCGCCTTGCACCCTAATGTCTGGGGTTCCAGTCCCGGCCGGACCTCGTTTTTTCAGTGTGTGCAATCGAATTTTTTTCCGGAAAAAATTGATTTCGCGGACTTGTGTTTGCGGACTCTGATTTCGCGGACTCTTATATAGGTCTTGCTGATATTTTTTTCAGGAAAAATCTTAAAATTTCTTCACGCTCATTTTTGATTTTTCGCGGTTAAAACAAGTCGTTCTTGTTTAGTTTCCTTGCGTTCATTACTCTTTTCCACCTGTCAGTTGCCTATGTTTATAAATTATTGAATGATCACAGTCAGATTGTGTACTCTAATCAAATCAAGTTGTTTTTTTTTCATCTAATAAGAACCCTATATTCCAAAAATGTCATGTGTGTTTTCTAGTTTTTTGAGCGTCAATTAACAGTGAGGTAAATTATTTAGGCCGTGGATTTTTTTTGAGATTTATCTTTGAATCCTTTAGAGTCCATTACATATTTATTTACCAATCAAAGGCACGGTGTGCTTTCTAACTGAAAACGTGCAAATGTGGCCAAAAAAAATTGATTTATATTTTGACTAGTGACGTTTAATTTTGATTTCCCAGAACGAGTGTCTTGTAATCGTTAACAAAATTTTTTTCCGTAAACACGTTTTCTTTCAAATCTCAATTGCTGTCTTATTAAAGCTTATGAACATTCAATTTTGTTGACAATTGCCCTCACCTGGCACCCTAAGGCCACTGAGTTAACGCCGTCGCCTTGCACCCTAATGTCTGGGGTTCCAGTCCCGGCCGGACCTCGTTTTTTCAGTGTGTGCAATCGAATTTTTTTCCGGTAAAAATTGATTTCGCGGACTTGTGTTTGCGGACTCTGATTTCGCGGACTCTTATATAGGTCTTGCTGATATTTTTTTTCAGGAATAATCTCAAAATTTCTTCACGCTCAATTTTGATTTTTCGCGGTTAAAACAAGTCGTTCTTGTTTAGTTTCCTTGCGTTCATTACTCTTTTCCACCTGTCAGTTGCCTATGTTTATAAATTATTGAATGATCACAGTCAGATTGTGTACTCTAATCAAATCAAGTTGTTTTTTTCATCTAATAAGAACCCTATATTCCAAAAATGTCATGTGTGTTTTCTAGTTTTTTGAGCGTCAATTAACAGTGAGGTAAATTATTTAGGCCGTGGATTTTTTTGAGATTTATCTTTTGATTCCTTTAGAGTCCATTACATATTTGTTTACCAATCAAAAGGCACGGTGTGCTTTCTAACTGAAAACGTGCAAATGTAGCCAAAAAAATTGATTTATAATTTGACTAGTGACGTTTAATTTTGATTTCCCAGAACGAGTGTCTTGTAATCGTTAACAAATTTTTTTTCCGTAAACACCTTTTCTTTCAAATCTCAATTGCTGTCTTATTAAAGCTTATGAAGATCCAATTTTGTTGACAATTGCCCTCACCTGGCACCCTAAGGCCTCTGAGTTAACGCCGTCGCCTTGCACCCTAACGTCTGGGGCTCCAGTCCCGGCCGGACCTCGTTTTTTCAGTGTGTGCAATCGAATTTTTTTCCGGTAAAAATTGATTTCGCGGACTTGTGTTTGCGGACTCTTATATAGGTCTTGCTGATATTTTTTTCAGGAAAAATCTCAAAATTTGTTCACGCTCAATTTTGATTTTTCGCGGTTAAAACAAGTCGTTCTTGTTTAGTTTGCTTGCGTTCATTACTCTTTTCCATCTGTCAGTTGCCTATAATTATAAATTATTGAATGATCACAGTCAGATTGTGTACTCTAATCAAATCAAGTTCTTTTTTCATCTAATAAGAACCCTATATTCCAAAAATGTCATGTGTGTATTCTAGTTTTTTGAGCGTCAATTAACAGTGAGGTAAATTATTTAGGCCGTGGATTTTTTTTGAGATTTATCTTTGATTCCTTTAGAGTCCATTACATATTCATTTACCAATCAAAAGGCACGGTGTGCTTTCTAACTGAAAACGTGCAAATGTGGCCAAAAAAAATTTAGTTATATTTTGACTAGTGACGTTTAATTTTGATTTCCCAGAACGAGTGTCTTGTAATCGTTAACAAAATTTTTTTCCGTAAACACCTTTTCTTTCAAATCTCAATTGCTGTCTTATTAAAGCTTATGAACATCCAATTTTGTTGACAATTGCCCTCACCTGGCACCCTAAGGCCTCTGAGTTAACGCCGTCGCCTTGCACCCTAATGTCTGGGGCTCCAGTCCCGGCCGGACCTCGTTTTTTCAGTGTGTGCAATCGAATTTTTTTCCGGTAAAAATTGATTTCGCGGACTTGTGTTTGCGGACTCTGATTTCGCGGACTCTTATATAGGTCTTGCTGATATTTTTTTCAGGAAAAATCTCAAAATTTGTTCACGCTCAATTTTGATTTTTCGCGGTTAAAACAAGTCGTTCTTGTTTAGTTTGCTTGCGTTCATTACTCTTTTCCATCTGTCAGTTGCCTATAATTATAAATTATTGAATGATCACAGTCAGATTGTGTACTCTAATCAAATCAAGTTCTTTTTTCATCTAATAAGAACCCTATATTCCAAAAATGTCATGTGTGTATTCTAGTTTTTTGAGCGTCAATTAACAGTGAGGTAAATTATTTAGGCCGTGGATTTTTTTTGAGATTTATCTTTGATTCCTTTAGAGTCCATTACATATTTATTTACCAATCAAAAGGCACGGTGTGCTTTCTAACTGAAAACGTGCAAATGTGGCCAAAAAAAATTGATTTTTATTTTGACTAGTGACGTTTAATTTTGATTTCCCAGAACGAGTGTCTTGTAATCGTTAACAAAATTTTTTTCCGTAAACACCTTTTCTTTCAAATCTCAATTGCTGTCTTATTAAAGCTTATGAACATCCAATTTTGTTGACAATTGCCCTCACC